TAAATTTTATTAAAATTTTATTGAGTTTAAAATAAATATCAATACTTATTTATTACCTTAATTTTTAAAAAGCAATATAGCTAATTAAAGAAAATAGTAACCACTTATATTCCCCAGATCCAAGATTTTTTTTCAGGGAATGCATTCTGCCTAATTAATATCGTTGCTTATATTAATCTATAATCTGTTATCATCCATAATAACCGTTTTCATATCTTTATTAGCCACTTATATGTAACCTAGATTTTTGTGTTTAAAAGTTTATTTCCTAAGGCTTAGCTAGTTAGAATAAAATATTAGCTTCCTCAAAAATGTATTTCGAAGAAGAGGTAATTAAATACATTATTAGGGGCTATTTGGTTAGAGAAAAATTTTAAAAAAATTTTGTCTAATTTTTTTTTTTTTTTCAATGTTGGGGGTGGCACTCAAACCCTATCCCGTGAAGGTTACATCAGAAGTTTTTATCAAGGAGATGGTAGCCACTAAACCATTAGGATGTTCTTTGTTTAATTTCTTTTTTGATCCCTTAAACTTGAATGTTTTGTATTAATTTTATCCCTCAACTCATTATGTACTTTTTAGTTCTTTAACTCTAAATTTCTACATCAAATTTATCCCTCCATCAACTCCATCCAACTCCGCTCATTAAAATCACAAGTTATTTCCATGTCATAAAATTTGAATGATGTGGCAATTATATGTAAAAAAAAATAAGGTTAAATACCTTTTTTGGTCCCTCTACTATAGGAAAAAGCCATTTTTTAGTCCTTGTACCGAAAAAATTCTTTTTTTGGTCCTTACTGTTCACAAATCCGGTCCCTTTTTAGTCCTTCCGTTAATTTTTGGTTGATGTGGTAAGTTAATTAATGAAAAATTTTATTTTTTTCTTTACTTAAATTACGTGTGAAATCCATCTGGCAAAACTCGATGACATGGCCAAATTTTTTATTTTTAATTACCAAAGTACCCTCATTTTCTTCCCCCATCCTCTCATTCCTTTAGCCTTTTTTTTTTCTTTTTTTTCTTACATTTAGGCGAACCCAGGAGCCTGGGTTCGTCGCGATGAACCCTGCTCGTGGGTTCGTTGCGAACCCAGGAGCCTGGGTTCGTCATGATGAACCCTGCTTGTGGGTTCGTTACGAACCCACGAGCCTGGGTTTGCGATGGCAAACCCACGAGCTAGATTCATTACAAACCCAGGTTAGGTTCGTTGTGAATCCAGGCTAGGTTTGTCGTGATGAACCCTGCTCGTGGGTTCGCAACGAACCCAAGAGTGTGGATTCGCGACGAACCCAACTCCTAGGTTCGTCGTGAACCCAGTCGCCTAGGTTCGTCATGAACCCAGGCTCTTGGGTTCGATACATGGTCTTCTTGTGGTAATTTGCGGCACTTCAAGCACAGAAAAATGTTAGTTGGTAAGATTGGATTGATTTGGTTAAATGATTCTGTGATCAATTGTTGGGTTAATTAACTATTTTTAACAGGTACTTCCAAGAAGGAAGTTGAATAGGTTTTGTTGGTCATGAGATGAGTTTTAGTCCTTTTGGTTGAACAAATGCATTACTCATGGGTACGCAACGGTACGCAATGAACCCAGCTTCTGGGATCACGATGAACCCAGATCCTGGGTTCGTCGCGAACCCACGAGCTGGGTTCATCGCGACGAACCCAATCTTTCTAATGGCTCAGAACATTCTAGCTTTGCTGATAGATTTATGGTGTCACTTGCAATAACATTTTTTAGGACACTTGGAAAGATTGGAACAGCTTACCTTCAGGCACCTGGGTTCTTTTCTTTTCTTTACCTTCAGGCGAACCCAAGAGCTGGGTTTGTCCTGAACCCAGGCATCTAGGTTCATCGCAAACCCG